AGCATGTTGAATATACCATGGACTGCTAGGAGAACAAACAGGTTTGTTCTGGAGAGGGTGAAGCCAGAATGTTCCCTGGAGTCAAGGATTCTGAAGCTTCGTCTGGCATACTTTAGGCGTGTTGCAAGGAGGGACTGGTCCTTGGAGAGGGACATCATGTTTGGGAGAGTAGAGGGGTGGCACAGGAGGGGAAAACCCTCGATGAGATGGATTGATTCTGTGAGTGCAGTGGTGGGAATGAGTGTGTTTGAGACGACAAGGTTGGCACAGGATAGAACGGCGTTTACGGCTCTTGTACATAGGGTTGCTATGAGTCACAAGCGACTCGATGGCACATAACAACAACAAAAAAAATGTAAAATATCTAGAAGAGAAAACGTATAGAAATTAAATTTTAATAATGATTACTATGAGAGTTCTGGTGGTTTAGTAGTAAGTAATTGAGCTCCCAATGCAAAAATATGTGAATTAAATCCACCAGCAACTCCACAGGAGAAAGATGAGCAATCTCATCCATTGTGATTTACTGCGTCTGAAAACCCACTGGAGGCTCAGTTATACAATAAGAATGGAAAAACTCTAAAAAAAGATGAGCTGACTTAGTGATTGTAACAGTGGGCCTAGTATTTCAGAGATTGTAAGGGTGGTGCAGAATAGGGCAAGTTTCAGATCTGTTCATACATGGTTATAAGTTATAGCTGACGGGATGGCACCTACCAACAAAAACAGGGGTGAGAAGGAGGCAAAAGAAGGCATGAAATAAAGTTTAGAAAGCAGTGAGTTTTTGGCAACGGCATCACAATGTGATTGATGTAAATGGTCAATTCATCTGATGAATTTAACCCTTGAAAAATGTTAAATCGGCAAATATTGAATTACCTGTTTTTCTGCATCAATATTTTTTTTACGTTTTAAAAGGCTGAAAAGAATTTTAAGAAGTTCAGATAAATCCCATAGTCTAGGGAAAAAGATTATTGATAATTCACCTAAAACATTCCATAACTTCCCCCCCTCCAATCCACCAGACCTATAGTTTGGGAACATTTTGAATTTTTTCTACATGTGTTTACATAACTTCATCCTACGGATACTGAGCATGCTTCCTCCTTACTGCACTCCCACCAAATGATTATGCTGTTTATATATCAAGGACAAAATAAGGATGTCCACTATCATCACAGCTTCTATTCAGTATGGTATAGGAAGTACTTGCTAAGGAAGTAAGACGAGAAGGAAATACGACACATTCAAATTGGCAAGGACATGGTAAAACTGTTGGCATATGCAGACCATTTGATAGTGTACACAGAAAACCCCAAAGTCTCAACAAAACATGTTTTAAACATATTAGACCAATTTAGTAGAGTGGCAGAATATAAGATAATTATTCAAAAGTTAGTGGGATTTCTCTAAAAAAGAAAAAGAAAGTACAGAAAAAGGTAACCAAATAAAGGCAATACATTTTACAATAGCCAAGCACAAGATGAAAATAGGAATAAACTTGAAACTTGTTTTCCTGCCAAACATTCTTCTAGGTGGTATAGATAGCACTGGTCTGTGGATTGCTGTTCAGAGGTAACTTGTGGTTGCTGTGATGCTGACCACTGTAACACTGTGCCAAATGTGGTAATGGTCACGCATGGTGGGCAGTGTTTGCTGGAGCCTCCCGACTAAAACAAGCCTGGAAGCAGGAGCAGCATCCACTTCTGAAATTACTTGCCTTCAGAAACCCTATGAACAATGCTCAAGCCTTTTGTTTATAGGGTCACTATGAGTCATCTATGACTCGAGGGTATCAAACAACAATATAACAACAAAAGACATAAAAGACCTTTGTAATGAAAACTGAAAAGTACTGCTACAAGAAACAAGAAAAGACTAGCTAAATGGAAAAATATTCCCTGTTCATGGCTAAGAAGACTCAACTTAGTGGAAACAACAATCTTACCAAAAGCAATCTACATATTCAATATACTCCTAATATAGATAATCAAACCCAATCTTCAACTTAGTGGAAACAACAATCCTACCAAAAACAATCTACATATTCAATATAATCCCAATATAGATAATCAAACCCAATATTCAAAGAGACAGAAAAGACAGTTGGCAGGTGTATTTGGAAATGAAAGAGATCCCAAATAAGCAAAGCTTTACTGAAAAGATGAAATTAAATAGATGGCATCACACTTCCAAATTGCAAAACCTATTACACACCCATAAAAATAAAAACAGCATAGTATTTGTACAGAAAAATAAACCAATGGTATGGAATTGAGAACCTAGAATCCATCTACCTATGGTCAATTTGTATTTGACAAGGAACCAAACTCTATCAAACAGGGAAAAGCCAACCTCTTCAACAAATGATGTTGGAAAAACAGGACATTTAACTGAAGAAAATGGAAGCAAGATTTGCATCTTATATCATACACAAAAATAAACTCAAGGTGGGTCAAAGACCTTGGGGTAAACTCAAAACCGTAAGAATCACAGGAGACAAGAATGGGATCAAACTTAGAAGCCCTAGTTTATGACATAAATAGGCTTGCAAATACACTTTCTCCAACACACTTACCACCATTATCCCAGTTACTGTGTCAATCTATCTCATCCAGGGTCTTCCTCTTCTGTGCTGACTCTCTACACTTCCAAGCATGATGTCTTTCTTCAAGGACTAGAATCTCCTGGTAACATGCCCAAAGTATGTAAGATGAAGCTTCAAAATTTTTGCTTCCAAGAAGGAACTAGATTTCACTCTGTCCATGATAAACCTTTTTCTTCTTTTGGTACTCCAGGATATATATTCAGTACTCCTCTCCAATACTAAAGCTCAGAGGCATTAATTGTTGTTCTGTCATCCTTAGTCATTGTCCAGCTGCATAGCAAGCAATTGTGAAGACCATGCACTGAATCAGGTGTAGCTTGATCTCTAGACTGACATAATTGCTGTTCACTGCTCTAGAGACATCCCTGAGAGAAGACTTTACCAATGCAATTTGTCTTTTGATTTCCTAAGTGCTGCTGCCAAGAGTATTGATTGTAGATCAGAAGAAGACATATTAACAATCTCAATCTCTTCTCCATCTATCATGCATGGTGTTGCCAATTGGCCCAGTGGTGAGAATCCTTGTTTTCTTAATGTTGAGATGCAATTCATATTGAAAGATGCAGTTCTTGACCTTCTGCAGCAAATGGTTCAGGTTCATCTCAGTTTCAGCAAGCAAAATTGTGTCATCTGTATAATGCAGGTTGTTGATGAGTCTTTCTCCAATGAGGATGCCACATTCCATGTCATAAAGTTCAGCCTTCCAAATGATTTATTCTGCATACATACAAAGAAGGTATGGAAAAAGGACTCATCCCTGATGCACTCTTTTCTTGAGTTTGAACCATACAGTGTCTCCTTGCTCTGTTCTGATGACTGCTTTCTAGTCTAAGTGTAGGTTTCCAGTAAACACAGTTAAGTGTTTTGAGATTCCCATTCTTCTCAATGTTAGCCACAATTTCTTGTGATCCACGCAGTAAAATGCCTTTGTATAGTCAACAAAACACAAATAGACATCCTTCCGATAATCTTTGCTTTCAGCCAAGATCCCTATAATATTGACACTGATATCCCTGGTGCCATAGCCTATTCTAAACCCAGATTTTCTCTCTGGCAATTCTCCATCAATATACAGTTCAGCAATTTTTCAATAATCTTCAACAGATTTTGTTTGCAGGTGATATTAGTCATATTGTTCGATAATGCCTATATTATGTTGAATATCACTTTTTTTGGAATGGGAATATGGATCCCTTAGAGTCAGTTGGCCAGGTAGTTGACAGATAAATTTCTTGATACAACCTGTTGAGCACATCCAGGGCTACATATGTTTGCTGAAATATGCCAATATTTGTCCATCAATTCCTGTGGCCTTGTTTTTTATCAGTTCCTTCAGAGCAGTTTGAAAGTTGTCCTTTACCATCATTGCCTCTTGATTATATATTGTTTCATGCAGTTCTCCTCTGTTGGTCAATTTATTTTGGTACAGAGACTCTGTGTACACCTTCTATCATCTTTTGATGCTTCCTGGATAATTCAATATTCTGCCTATCAATCAATAGTAATTGTTGTTGTTACATGCCATTAAGCCACTGTGACTCACAGTGACACTATGTATAACAGCCCTAAACCCTGCTCTATTATGTGCCAACCTTATTGTTTCTGACACACCTACCCTCACTACCCCAGCCACTTAATTAATCCATCTCATCAAGAGTCTTCCTCTCTTGTACTATCCCTTCACCCTCCCCTCCCAAGAATAATGTTCTTCTCCAAGGACTGGTCCCTCCTTACAACATGTCCAAAGTATGTCAGACTAAGCTTCAGAAGCTTTGTCTCCAAAGAGCAGCCTGATTTCACCCTCTTTAAGATGAACCTATTTGTTCTCCTGGCAGTTCATGGTATAGTCAACTTTTCTCTAGCACCACAGCTCAAAGGCATCAAATCTCTTTCTATCATCCTTAGTCATTGTCCAGCTTTCTGATGCATAGAAAGTAATTGCAAAGACTATGGCTTGGATCAGGCTCATCTTAGTCTCCGGACTAATGTCATAATTGTTGTTGTTGTTATGTGCCGTCGAGTC